TCAGCTTTCCTGCTCCTCTGATGCTGCTTGGCCTGCTGTGTTCATCCAGCTCTACACCTTGTTATCTCAGATTCTCCAGCATCGGCAGTTCCCACTATCTATTGATAATAGAAGATGTTTCACATGTTGACCTACCCCCAACTTTGCAACTGTGGCTTCCACCAGTATTGTGTTCTTCATGGTTATGTTTACAACGACATTTAGCTCTCCAGGTGCTTGGGTCAAAATTTCTTCGTTTTCTCAGCCAGAATTCACCGACATCTTCAGGACGGGAAGGGATGAAGGCATAAGCTCTACATTGGCAGCCAGCAACTGCACAGGGCACTCGAACACTTGTACCTGTTGCAAAGGAGTAAGGAGAACTCATCAACACAGCAAACTGCAGGAGGCCATCTTTCAAATTGATAAGATTCATCCTCAAAATCGGGAACTTCTGGTCCCGACTTGCACAGAGTGCAGCTCAGAAACTCAAGCAGAGCAGGCAGTACTATATACTCTGTTTGTAGTGTTCCTGATTTCCTAGCCATTGCCAGAAGAATTGGGCAGGCTGAATTCCATGCCTGATTCTCTGAGCTGCTTTCTTGTTGAGTCAACAAGAACAACGGTAGATGCTGAAGATCTGAAATAAAAACAGAAACTCAGCAGATCTGGTAGCATTTGTGGAGAGAGAAAAACAAAGTTAATGTTTCAAGTAGAAAACACAACAAATGAACAGAACTGGTAGGGAAGCAAGGGTCAAATAAGAGTGAGGAACTGCAAGTAATTAGTACCAATAAACAAAGCATGCTGAAGAAAATAATGTGATTAAAAGCATCCTAGGCAAAGTAGCTCTAAAGAAAGTGGTTGCATTGATTATGGCCTTCTGATATTTCCTAGATTCCAGACCAGGCCCAGTGGATTCAAAGTTAGCAAATATAATTCCATTATTCAAGAAAAGATGGACAGAGAAAATAGGGAATAACTAGGGCCAAAAGTCTGACAAAGGTCATTCAGGAAAATGTTGCAATTCATTACAAAGGAAATGATAACAGGATGCTTAAAAAAGTCACGGCACAATTGGCAATGTCAACATGGTTTTATAAAAATGAAGATAACAAGATGTAGAGCTGGATGAACACAGCAGGCCACGCAGCATCAGAGGAGCAGGAAAGCTGACGTTTCGGGTCTCGACCCTTCTTCGGAAAATGTCAGACCCGAAACGTCAGCTTTCCTGCTCCTTTGATGCTGTCTAGCCTGCTGTGTTCATCCAGCCCTACGCCTTGTTATCTCAGACTCCAGCATCGGCAGTTCCTACTACCCCGTTAGTAAAAATGAAGTTGTGTTTGACTCAGAATTATTTGAGTTCTTGAAGGTATAATTAGCAGAATGAATAAAGGAAAACCAATGTATACTGGTCCACATTGATCCTGAGAGCATCCCTCCAAGTCCCATCCCCCCAACTTGACCCTATCCCTGTAACCCTGCATTTCCCACAGCACCTACCCTGCCTATCCCTAGACACTATAGGCAATTCACCATGGCCAATCCACCTAACCTACACATCCTTAGACTGTGGGGAGGAAACCCACAAAGACACAAGGAGAGTGTGCAAACTCTATACAGACGGTTGCCTGAGGTTGGGATCAAACCCAGGTCAAAGGTGCTGTGAGGCAGCAGTGCTAACCACTGAGCCACTGTGCTGCCCAATATGGCCTTCCCCTTTTCCTATTTCTTATATTCTTATCTTCAGCTTTGAATTGTAATGAACTTAATCTAGGAGTAAGACATGAATGAATAAATCAGACTGCTATCCTTGTAATTGGGATAAAATTTAAATGTGATTCCTGCTATAACTAAATACAGAAGGAAAATTTTCATTTATCCTTTCAAGTTCTTCCTTCTAGGATCCATGTATGATTGTTCCATCAAACTCTTCCTTACTCATTAGCTGTTGAATCTCTATTTTGGAGAATACAATCTTCCCATCCCTAGCTCCTTTGAAATAAGTGAATATTTCTCTGACCTACTGAAATATAAATGGTTTAATTATAACTGCTATGCTGAGATCTGTAGGGATTACTAATTAACCATTAGATTTGCGTCAAAGAAGCAGAATTTAGGTAATCTGTGCCAGCTTATTTTTACATTCAATTAATTGACCTTCTGTCTCCCTAGTGCCAATTGACAAGGCTCAAGAGAGGAGTGTGATGGAATAGTCTCCGCTTGCCTGGAAGGATGCAGCTCCAAAGCATTCAAGAAGTTTGACACTATTCAATGGAAAACAACCCATCTGATTGGCACCTCATCCACCATCTTCAACATTCACTCCATCCACCACTCAAGTTCAGTGACCGCAGTATGTACTGTCTACAGAATCACTGCAACAACTCACCAAGCCTCCTTCAATACACCTTCCGAACCCATTGTCTCTTCCACCTATACTTTTTTAATTCATTCACGGGATGAGGGCATCACTGGTTAGGCCAACATTTATTGCCCATCCCTAATTGCCCAGAGGCCAGTTAAGAGTCAATCACATTGCTGTGGGTCAACAGTCACATGTAGGCCAGACCAAGTAAGGCTAGTAGTTTCCTTCCATAATGATATAAATATTTCAGACAGTTTTTCTTGTGACAATCGACAATGGTTTCATGATCATCATTAAATTCTTAATTCCAGCTTTTTATTGAATTCAAATTTCACCGTTTGCTATGATAGAATTCAAAACCATATCCCAAGAACATTACCTGGGTCTCTGGATTAACAGTCCAGCAACATTGCCTCCAGACTATTACCTCCTTTCCTATCGCCTCCACCTTGGAGGACAAGGGCAGCAGATGCTTGGGGCTATTTTTCTGCTCTAAGTTGCACATCACCCTGGCTTGGAAATCTATCACTGTTGCTTATTCTCACTTTGTCAAAATTGAGGAACTCCCTTCCTAACTGGACTGTGAGTGTCCCTACATCAAAAAGTCCACAGCATTTCAAGAGGGGAGCACATAACCACTGCCTCCAGGGAAATTAGGGACAGGCAATAAATTCTAGCTCAACCAGCAATGCCTTGATCACATGAACTAATAAGCAAAATCAACAATAATCAATTCAGAAAAAAAGAAATTCAGTTCATACCAGTAAACCGTCCGTGTTCAGCGAGGAGGTGTCCACAAAAACATTTGGACTTTACTCCAACTCTGATGCAGTCCCAGTTGTATTCAGGGCATCGCCATCCAATATAGATCCCTTTCAAAGCAACGTTTTGCATTGGTTACAAATATAACAGCTGAACAATCTGCGTCACTTACAGTGTAGGTGATGAAAATCCCTTAAAGTAAGGCTAAAATGTTCCCAAGTTCTGCTGAAAGGTGAGAAAGGTAAAGAGGAATTCATGCACAAACACACTGGAAAATAAGATGTCTCTCTTTTACATGACCAAATGCATGATTAATACTTGCCAAAATGCAAGCCTAATGTTGTACTTCCTGGTTAAAGTCACCCTCCAGCTATACTGACCAAATATGTGTATTAAGCAAACCTTTTGGACAGAAACCTTCACTACCAATGTGATTTTCTATCTTTACATGAAGAGAAAGATTTACTTTGTACAGTATAAGCATCAAAATTGAAACATGTTTATTAAGTTCACAATGTTCTAAGTGTAGCATTCAAAAATCTTTGCCCCAATGGCCTTTCTAATCTTGAGCCCCCAACGTAGTGGCAATAGTGAACATTTTACATTGCTAAGTGAATACTTAAGAATGCCTAAGTTCATTTCATGTAGAGCATTTATAAATTGCACAAGGAACAGGTCTCATTTCATCTGTTGGAAATTAAACCCAGAGCTTTAAAATTAAAGGACAATGTGCAATCTTAAACAACCAACTCTGTTAAACTGTTATTGACATTCTTACACTGACTTTAAAAAAATCCAACCCCCTGTCTCCTAAAATGGAAGAAAAAATACCGAAGATGCCACAGGTCACTGGACTTAATCAATTAATTATTACATTCCCCTCACATTCTCATTATACTGTATGGACTTGAGCCTAAGGAAGTGACTTACTTGGGCACAATTCTTGTCACATGTCTACTTTGCTGTTGGGATGTTCAAACTAATGACAGACATTTAGCAAGACCCAGAGAGAAGAGAAATTTATTCTTCTCTCCCAACAAGGTAACTCAAATAGCATAATTCCCAGGCTAAACTGCACTTTCCCTTTAAGAGGTGCAGACTACCATATAAGGTAGTAGCATTATATGCAGCCACTTATCAGCCCATGTAGCACATAAGCAAGTGTAGGCTAACCACGTATCACAGCAAACACAGCCTTGCTAGTATCACCCACATCCACAGAACAAATAATAAGAATTAAATTCACCTGTTTGAAGAGCATCCAGCGCTGCTTCTTTCTCAGGATCAAATAGTTCCTTTACCCGTGTCCCAAATTCTTCTCTATGCATTGCTTTGGCAACAGAGACAAGCTCAGCCTTTTTGGCTGGAACTATGGGTTTTACTGTATATCCTGTAAAAGATAATCACAGGAAACCTCATAGTAGATAAATATATTTTTTTCCAATTACTTTTACACTGCTATTGGAAAATGTTACAGTTTTTCCTTTCTGGTTAACAGAGAAACATAGAGAATAGGAGCAGGAGCAGGTCATTCAGTATTTTGAGCCTGCTCCGTCATTCATTATGATCATGGCTGATCATCTAACTCACTGTACCTGCCTTTCCCCTATGTCCTTTGATCCCATTAGCCCCAAATGCTACATCCAACTCCTTCTTGAAATTACAATGTTTTGGCCTCAACTACTTATTGTGGTAGAGAATTCCACAGGCTCACCACTTTTTGGGTTAAGAAATTTCTGTTCATTTCAGTCTAAAATTTACCCCATATTCTTAGACTATGACCCCTGGTCTGGACTCCTTTATCATTAGGCATATTCTTTCTGCATCTACCCTATACAGTCCTAACAGAAATTTGTAAGTTTATAAGATCATCCCCTCATTCTTCTAAGCACCAGTGAATATAATCCTAACCTATTCAACCTCTCCTTATGTCAGTCCTGCTATTCCAGGAGTCAGTTTAGTAAATCTTTGTTGCATGCCCTCTATAGAAAGAACATCCTTCCTCAGATAAGGAGAGCAGAACTGAACATAATATTCAAGGTGTGGTCTCATCAAATACAATTGCAGCAAGATTTTCTTGCTCCTGCACTTATATACTCTCACAATGAAGGTTAACATTACATTTATCCACTTTCCCACCTGCTACACCTGCATGCAGTGACCTTCAGTGACCTTAGGTCTCATTACACATTATCCTCTCTCAGTTTATAGCCATTCAGATAATAATCTGCCTTCTTGCTGCCAAAGTGGATAACCTCACATTTATCCACATTATACTACATCTGCCATGCATTTGCCACTCACTCAGCTTGTTCAAATCACATTGTAGCAACTCTGTCGTGCCATCCGCTTTGTGTCATCTGCAAATTTGGAGATATTACATTTATTTCCCTCTATCCAAATCATAAATATATATTGTGAATAGCTGTGAACTTAGCACTGAACCCTGGCAGTAACCTGCCAGGAAATTTCAGAAAAAGACTGGCGCCAACCAGGTTTCTATCCATCTCATACACTAACCCCTAACCCAATTCACTTTAATTTTACATTTAATTTAATCTCTTTTGAGATATTTTGTCAAAAAAACTTCTAAATAAACCACTGGCACCCTCTCATCAACTCTACCAGTTATATTCTCAAAGAATTCCAGTAGCTATGTCAAGCATAGTTTCCCTTTTGTAAATCTATGCTGACTCTGTCTGATTCTGCCATTGTTTTCCAAATGCTCAGCTATCAATTCTTCTATAATAGAATCTAGCAATTTCCCCACTGACTGATCTATAATTCCTGGTTTTCTCTCTGGCTCAGTTCTTAAATAGCGGGGTTGCATTAGCTACCCTCCAAGCTGTAGGAACTATTCCAGAGTCAATAGAATCTTGGAAGCTGAGTGCCAATTACTGAATGTAAGGGACCTACATTTGTCTTCGCTATTTCTATGGCCATTAAGTACTCCAGATGTTGATTATCAGGACCTGGGAACTTAACTGCCTTCAACTTCATCAATTTCCCAACGCCATTCTCCAAATAATATTTTCCTTCAACACCTCCCTCTCACTGAACCCTGTGTTCCCTAACATTGCTGGTATGTTATTTGTGTCCTCATTTGTGAACACAGAGCCAAAGTATTTATTTTAGTTGGTCAGCCATTTTTTTGTTCCCCTTTAGAAATTCCCTGTTCCTGGGAGTTTATATACAACCCCTGATAATGTTTTTTGGCCCTTGGTGTTCCTTAGGTACACCCATAGAGATACCACATTGTCAGAACTGATATCCTTCCTCACTATGGCACTAACTTCCTCTTTAACCAGTAATGCAACTCCACTGCCTTTTCCTCTGTCCTTCCTCAATCTCCCTGGCCCTACACTCATCCCTGCAACATCTGGATAACAAGGACACTTACATCAGACTCCAATTTATTGACTTTAGCTCCGCCTTCAACACCATAGTTACAACCAACCTCATCTCCAAACCCAGAGACCACGGACTCTGCTCCTCCCTCTGCAACTGGATCCTTGACTTTCTAAGCCGCAGACTGCAATCAGTAAAGATCAACAACAATACCTCCTCCACAATAGTTCTCAACACCGGTGCCCCACAAGGCTGTGTACTCAGCCCCCTACTGTCTCCTTATACACTCACATCCGTGTGGCCAAATTTAGCACTAACTCCATTTACAAATTTGTTACTGACACCAACGTTGTGGGTCAGATCTCAAGCAACTCCGAGCACAGGAAAGAGATAGAAAGCTTAGTGGAAAGTTGTAAAGACAACAATCTCTCCCTCAGTGTCAGCAAAATAAAGGAGCTGGTCATTGACTTCAGGAAGCACAGTGGAGGACATGTCCCTGTCTATATCAATGGTGCTGAGGTGGACGCGACCAAGAGTTTCAAGTTCCTAGGAGTAAATATCACCATCAATCTGTCCTGGTCCATCCACGTCGACACTACAGTCAAGAAAACACATCAACACCTCTACTTCCTCAGAAGACTATGGAAATTTGGGATGTCCACAATGACTCTAACCAATTTTTATAGATGCACTGTGAAGGGTAGCCTCTGAAGGTAGTTATGATGACGAAAGTGGCACGTGACAACAAATATGATCGGGTTAAAGTGATTGATTAAAGTGGCATGTGACAGCAAATGCTGTCATGCCTGTGTGAGTCATGCTGTGTTAGAGAGGTACAATAAGTGAATACTCTGTAAAGAAAACATCTGTTTGTCATAGCAGGGGCAGATAACTGTAAGAATGCTGTATAAACAAGCTCCACACACAAGTATCTGTTGTATCTGTTGCAATACTGTATAAAAAGCCACGTCTACTCACTGTATGCAGCTTAAGCTCAAAGATGTACTAAGAAGTGCTTTCAATAAAGACAACTTTTAAGACTTCTACCTAGTCTCCATCTCACTCCTGTTCACAGGGGGATGGGGGCAAACAAACCCAACATGCACCACAGAAAGCATCCCTTCCATACATCCAGAGCAACTGCTCTGCCCAAGACCACAAGAAATTACAGACAGTTGTGAACACAGCTCAGTCCATCATGAAAACCAACTTTTCTTCCATTGACTTTGTCTACCCTTCCTGCTGCCTCGGGAAAGCAGCCAACATAATCAAAGAATCCTCCCACCCAGGTTATATTCTCTTCCACCCTCTTCCATTGGGCAACAGATACAAAAGTTTGAAAACACATACCAACAGATTCAAAAACAGCTTCTATCCCACTGTTATCAGACTTATGTTAACTCTCATATATTAGAGTTGATCTTTCTCTGCACCTTCTGTGTAGCTGTAACACTATATTCTACATTCTGTTCTATTACCCTGATGTACTTATGTAAGATATGATTTGTCTGGTTAGCATATAAAACAATACTTTTCACTGTATCTTGGTACATGTGACAATAATAAATCAAATCAAATGCTGAATATCCCTGGATATTCAGTTCCCATTCTTGGTCATCCTGCAGCCATGTCTCTAAATATCCTGACTATATTACAACCATTTTCATCTCTTTGCAAGATTAATTCACCCATTTTATTCCCAATGCTCCACAAAGCCTTCAGGCTTGTTTTTTAAACAATTACTTGCCCTGTTATTTTTCACTGTGTCTCTGTTTGATCCTGGCCCTTGGTTTCTCTACCTATCACTTTTTTTATTTCCCCTTTCTGTCTTTTGTTCTTGTTCTTGATCACTCCTCCTCTGAGTCCTTACATAGGTTTCTATCTTCTTGCCATTTTAGTTTAAAGTCTTCCCAACCACTCTAGAAAATATTCCCCCTTAGACAGCAGTCCTGGTCCCGCCCAGGTATAAGCTGTCCAGTTTGTACTGGTCCCACCTCCCCCAGGATCGGGACCAAAGCCCCAGGAATTTGAAACTCTCCCCCTTGCACCATCTCTTCAGCCACATATTCATCTGATATATCCTGGATTTTTATCCTGATTAGCATGTGGTACTGATAGTAATCCTGAGATCACTACCTTTGAGGTTCTACTTTTCAGCTTACTTCCTAACTCCCTATATTCTGCAGGCAACATGGAGGTAGAGGCCCAGTCACCTCTTGTCCTGAAAAAAAACTTTTGGGTAAGTGGGTTCCTCCTTGGGATGGGTGCCTCTTGGCACCACCCTGTATCCATGTGAGGAAGGGGTACCAGGAGTGAAGTCAAAGTGCATTCTCCATTGTTGTCTGGCTTTGGTGCTGAGCACTAATAGCTAGAGAGATGGGGTGTAGGTCTGGAGACATACTCAGGAGGCTCTCAGACTTCTTGACTTGGCTGTCCATGGCAGCTACCAAACTGTTCACAGAAGCAACTTGATGCACAAATACCTGAGGCAGCACAGTCCCAACCACATTGCTGCAGGCCTGCAACATTTATATCGGCTTCACCAGTGCTCCTGCTGCTCCTGTGTCTGTTGTGCAGGTCAATAAAGTCACCAAGTGCCCACACTCTGGGCTCTCCTCCTGCCTCAGGCTCAGGAGGTGCTTGGTCTCTGGCAGCCCTCTGAATGCCAGCAAAGTGTGCCATTTCTTCCTCAACCAGATGTGGGAATGTGGCAGTGAAGTGTTTACCATCAGGTGCTCCTGACTGTAATCTCGTGACAATACCCACTGGGGGGTCAGTGTCAGAGATGCTGTGTGGAGTGGGGGGAGGGTACAGGAAGCAGCCTTCTACAGAGATAGCTTCCTCAAATGGTGAGGAGGGGATGTGCTGCAGTGAGAGAGTACGGGGATCCCAGTGGTACCTGCAGGAGGCAAAGAGACCATGCATCATGACCAAGGGGTGTACGTTGTGGTATAATAATAACAATAATACATTGACAGTGATGGTAATGAGAGAGCAGCACAACAATGAACAACATCTCTTACTTGGCTGCTGGGACCTGGTTGTTGCAGTATCTTCACAGAACCGGTGCCTGTTCTCACCACTAAGGGCCAGGATCCTCCCCTCTTCATAGGAGGTGAGGAGGCGAACATGGGGCACCACCACCCATCCTGGCTTTATAAGCTCTATTACAGGCAGTTTTCTCCTGGAATGAGAAAGGGAAGGAGTGAGTGAGAGGAAAGTTGCTGATTCAGTGTTGTGAGTGAACAGATAGCACAGAGGCCATGTCACTTAATTCACCAGGAGGTTTGGGTGGGAGAGGGCAACTGAGGAAAGGTGTTGCATGTAACAGTGAGAGAACTACAGCATGAATTTTGGTGGGAGGCAGGTGCAGTATTAGTGTGTGTGAGCAATAGCACAGGGAAGATGGTGGCACTCATCCTGACGGAGCAGAGAAGGCAAAAATGGGCCATTAGTGACAACACACTGACTCAAGTGGCAACCTCAGGTCGGCAGGGTCTGGTGTTGTGGCCTTCTCTGGCAATCATGGGGAAGTGCACATCCCTTCTCTGCACTACCCTGTTCACCAGGACCTGCAGGTCTCCGTCCACAAGGTGCCAATTTTGCTATCTCCAAGGCAAATGTCCCCAAGCTATGCAGGCCTGCTGTGAACCTCCAGTACATGATTGGGTGCACAATGGTCTTTTAAATATGGTGCCATTGCCAGTTTGTTACAGAAACATATTCAAAAACAAGGAGTAACATCCAGGCACTTGCAGTAACATCCAGAGAAAGGACTTGCTCTCTTTGGAAGTGAGGCGAAAACTGCCAAAAACTAATGAGCTCTGAGAGAAAACTGACTGTGAACCAATAACATTCAATGACTATAACATCCACTATGACTGACTGCATCCAAAAAATGATACCCAACACTGACCTTGGGTTCAAGAACCTCATACCTTAAAGGCAACGAAAGGAGTCTAAACTGTATATTCTTTTATTTTCCTTTATATTGTACTCACACTTTGTGAGTGAGTGCGTGTGTGTGTGTGTGTGTGTGTGTGGAGATGCACATGACTGCACAAAGGTCACAATTGAAATTTCATTTTCATGATTTTTCTCATGTTTAAGGGGTAATAAATTGACAAATAATAAAATTTGAATCAAGAAAACCTTGTTGATTGGCTTCCTTAGTACTCATACTAGCACATTGTCAGCCACATTTTTAATTGGAGAGAGGCATAGCCTTGTGCAAGAAAGAACATATACTTTTGTTTGAACAGAGGGGAGCCAGTTCACTCCTCAGCTGATCGTAACACACTGAGCAACTTTGATGGACAGCTGATTTTCTCCTGCAGCCTAAATAGACAGCCTGTGCTCACATAGCCGAATGCCTTGGATAGACTAACGAGAGCAATATACAGTGGTCCCCTTTGTTCATGGCATTTCCTTTACAGCTGCTGGACTGAGAAAATCATGTTAATTCTAGATCTTCCAGTTCTGAAACCATGTTGGAATTCAGGGTGGATACATCCAGTCAGGCTCTACAGTCTCACAAGGGCAAATATGTTTTCCACAACAGTCTGCCAGGAGATGTGTTGATAGTTGTTGCAATTGTTATAGTCATCCTTGTGCCTGTACAAGGTCACAATCTTTGCATCACATGTATTCTGAGACACTGCCCCTCTCTCCTCAGGGACAGAGACAGTTGTGTAGGTGCTGCAGGAGCTTTGGTTGCCTGCAAGCTGGTCAAAAGCTTTACTTAATTCCTCACTGTGGTTTCAATATTCAGCTCTGTCAGGCAGACTTTCTATGGTGTCTGGAGCTTCCTTTGTGACAGTGTTCTCCCTAGAGTACAACTCCACCTCTTCAACTATTTATTGCAGTTGGTGATGACCCCCACTGTCTTTGTTTTTATTAGAGCTGTTTTGTTTGTCACCTTTTTGATAGGTTCATACCTATCACTTGCATTCTGTGTCAAAGGACATCTGGATATTCTGGTAAAGCTGTAGCCAGTAGTCAATGGTTGCATTTTATTCGACTTTCTTAATGCATTTAGACTCTTCTCTGTCAGCGATTTCATGTAATTAATTAGAACACGTTGCTTGGCTTCAATTATAAGTTCCATCTCATGGGAGAACTTACATTTGTCCTAATTTTATTCTTTTTGCTTGACACCACAGATGTGGGCTTCTGGTGGAATTCACCAGATAAATTTCAATAGCACACATCTTAGCTGTTTTTTGTTTTATTAGGCTGGGGAATGGTGATATCAGTTCTAATATGCTAACAGTTGAAATTAGATTAGTCAATTTTTAAATGTGTATATTAAAAAAGGCCATAAACATTCTGAAACTTTAACAAAGAAGTCTGCACTGGAGTTGCTGTGAACAATAATTCCAGCCTCCACTGTGCACTACATTGCATGTTGCAATAGCATGATAGAAGATTGTATATTAAAGAGGCTGTCCTGGTAACATCAGTAGGAGCTAAAACTACTCCAGCATACAATTAACAGGGTTATCCTTGAGTGATGGAACTTCTGAATAACTAAGGAGTCACACACACATCAGCAGGTTTCAGTTCTCAAGGAGGGAGGAAGCAAAATATATCTGTCCAAAAATTACTAAGGTTGGGCTGCATTTGCATTGCCTCCTTAGATTCTCACAAGCAACAAACCTCTTTATAAACAGGAAATTTAACTTGAAATTCCTGACAATTGGTACTTTAAGACTTCTGTGATCTGTGCTTCAGCATGGGAATGTTTATCATGTAAATATTCCTGGAGTTAAACCAGAGGCAACAAAATAGAAAGCTAAACTTTCCACATTTCTATTTCCAATGGCAGATATGCATTAATTATTTAAGCTTTCTTATCTTTAGAGGCTTTTTATCCCCACAAAAGAAAACATTAGAACTTACTCTGTGACATTACACATCTGCCCGCACAATTAATTAAACAGGTTCCTGTGCTAAGGTTCCATTTCTCCTGCTCTGTCAATATTTTGCTTGCTGTTTGGTTTTGAACTTGATTGAAGATGGTAGCTCTGAATTTCCATGGTTACAAACTCAACTCCTGTCACATTTTTGCTGGAGGTTCTACCACACTCCCGTTAAAAAGGCAAGAGACCAGCACAACCCACATGAAAGTTTTGAGTCAGCAAATATAGCCCCAAATCATTGCCTTTTCTCTTTTATAACATAATGTGCTGCCAACCTGAAGTGATAACAAAAGTGACTCTTACAGTATTTTTCACATTACCTTTTGGAACAAGCATGGTGTTTTGTTGCTGGGCTTGTGATGGCTGATATGGGACCACAGCCTGGCTAGCTCCAGATCTGTTGTCTGCCTTGTTTCGTGGTACGATCTGGTTGGACTCATGACCTGCAGCTTGTGGGGCAAAACTGGCCTTTTTTGCCTTTTGCTTTCCCGAGCCTTGTCCTGAAGACATTGTATCTGGGGGTTTCACCCGTACTCAGCCACTGCAGCCGGATACTGAAATAAAGACAATTGAAATTAAATTTCCATTATGTGAAGATTATTCAGAAAATCATTTGATTTCATATTTTTGCTTCATCAGTAAACATGCCATCACTTTTAAACTTTAAGATTCTGTAACATTGTGAAGTGCTACCTGACTGGAAATGTAAGCATGTGAGGTGACGTTGTGTGTCAGTTGCACAGTAACCAGGAAACAGTTACACTGTCAACAACAACACAGACAGCAATCAGTGGTAAGACACACGTGGGGACCACTGGCACCCATATAGTGAAGAAGCAAAGCAAGTATTATGTGCAGAAGTGGTAGCAGTTTACTGTTTGGTTTAAGATACACACCGATGTTAGAGAATACAACACAAAAAAAACTTATTGGGAGCCTATCCAATACTGATGTGGGCTAATTAAGGAAATATTGCATGGATTTATTAAAAACAAATAATTTCTTTTAGTTTGTTGAGATTAAAAAAAGTGTTGATGAGGCTATTACAATTGATGTGGTGCACATGCGCTACCAAAAAGCATTTGTTAAAGTGTCACATAATCATTTTGCAAAGTTGATGCCCAGGGAATAAAGAGGACAGTAGGTGGCAGCATAGGAGACAAGAAAATGTGTTAAACGGTTGCTTTTTGTACCAGCAGAAGTATTCAGTCAGGTTCCCAGGGGTCTGTAATAGAGCTTTTCTTTGTATATATTTTGGAGCCTGCAAACTCAATTTCAAAATGTGCAGATGATACAACACTTGGAATTATTGCAAACTGTGAGGAGGATAGGGTTAGACCTCCAGAGAGGGTAGACAAGTGAGTGGGATGGGTGAATAATTGGCAAATAAAAATTAATGCAGGTAAATGTGAAATAGTACACTTGGTCATTAGGAGTAATTTGGTCAACTGGAACACTGGCAATCGAATAAAGTGAGGTTTCGGCTAGTAAGGAGAGTCAATGGGCATAGAGATTGTTGGAATACTAGCCTGCAACAGCCTACAGTTTATTATGAACTTAGGAGGTATACTTATTATGCTCATCTCCACATTTCTGTATATATTCTGTTTGAAACAAACCTTTTTGAAGATGTCCTCCAGTTATTCATTTAAGAAACACTGCCTATGCTGCATTCAAAGAATCTAAAATTTGGTTTCAGCAGCCACTCTTCAAATATCTGAATAGTATAACGTATTCGATTATAGCCGTGTAATTGGGTGTGATTTGAGTGAGTTAAAACCTCGCTCCTATGATCTCAAAAATGTGTTTAGATTCAAGAAGTTGCTCCATTAAATTGAACTTTCTCCATCTGATTTCCTCTTGGAAATAGAGGCAAGGAGATTTTATTGCTGCCTTAGTGGGAAAACATCCTTCTTAGTGAGGAAGTGTCACTCAACCCGAAACGTTAACTCTGATTTCTCCCCACAGATGCTGCCAGACCTGCTAAGTTTTTCCAGCAATTTCTGTTTTTGTTACTTCTTACTTTTCTCCTTTTTAGGGAATTAACTTCATATGTAACCCATGGTGAGTTTATATTACAATTCCATACAGGCATACATGAATTGGCCATGATCGTAATAAAGGATTACACTGGATGGGTTGAATGGCCTGTTCCTTTTCCTATATTCGATGTGTGCATAGTCACACAAACACGTGCTTCAGGACATCAGTGCAATCCTATTTCATTTGAGGGACTGTGGCTAAATGTTTCAATGTATTCAGTACTCACCACGAGATCAACAAACAGAACATACACAAATGAGGGACTACATTAACCCAGCAGTGGGTAATTATATTGCATTATTGATGTTTGTTGCAGAAGACTGGGGTATATCAGCAAGGCTACCCAATAACTCGCTTGGTAAGGGAACTGCCTGGCTTGCAATCCAGTTCCCATATCCAGATCCTCCTCTATGCTGCGTTACCTCCAGTGTCACTGAAGGCTTCACTGTCCGATTACAGCCTTGCAATTCAAGTTAAATTAGGAAGTTTACCTAGTTTTTGTTGTGATACCTTCTTGCAGTGTTAGTAAAAGCTTCCTTAATTGGTGCCAAGCTACTAGCTCGCTGAGTGGGCCAGCAGCCCCAGGAGGCAAATCACTACCCTTAAATGGTCAATAGTCCTGGCAGCTCAATTGGCTGCTGCTGGTTAGATCCTATTCGGGATGTACTGCCCATTTTGTTGGGTTGGGGTCCACTTTCGGTCCCAGCAAGGGGATAACCACAGGGGAATGGAGAAATTAATTCAATTGTGTCAGACTTAGAATTTAATACAGCATTGAATTTTGTACAATTGCATAATTTGAAAACTGAAATGGAAATGTCGAACCTAGAATCTATACCCACTTTTGACATAAATAAACTGGCACATGTCATGCTCTACGCTAGTGATATTGTCTGCTGAAATTAATTGTTCATTTAACATATTACAATTTTGACTGATCAGCATGAAATTATGACAATTCGTTTTTACTAAATGATGTAACTTTCTGGTGTGGTACAGTTTTTGTATTAAAACTTGTGGGGAGCTTTCTGAAATCTATTTTTTATCTTAAAGAGACTGCATTGAATAATCTATTCTGTTTGCACAAGCATTCTCAGTCTACAAATTTGAGTAGCTTATAGTATAAGTATATGAGGATGAAAAGATGTAAGGACAGTACACCTAAATATGAATCTGCTAAGTTAAGATAATGTATGATAATATATAGTAAAGGAAATCATGAACTTTTTAAATTGTGCTATACTTTTGCCATAAAGTGCTGACAGTCTATGAGTGACCAGGCATTAAACCTGATTTCCAATGAGGAATCGACACATTGACCCTGACTGAAAGTATATGGGGCCTTCGTGAGACCACACCTGGAGTATTGTGTGCAGTTTTGGTCTCCTTAACTAAGGAAGGATGTTCTGGCAGTGGAGGGAGGACTACAAAGGTTTACCAGACTGATTCCTGGGTTGACAGGACTGATGTATGAAAGGAGATAGGATTGGTTGACTTAGTGGCAGGAAGCAGAGGGTGATGGTGAAAGGGTGTTTTTGTCCTTGGAAGCCTGTGTCCAGTGGCATGCAACAGGGTTCGGTGCTGGGTCCTTTGCTGTTTGTTGATCGAGATGTGAATTAAGGAGGCATGGACCAGGGTTAGCCAGGTGGACCTCATAGAATATGAGTTTCCTGTTTGGAGCTGATTTCCAATCAGGGAGCCCTAGCTGACAGATATAAACAGGAGTGTCAGAGGTTCTGTTCACTCTGCAAGCTGGCTCTGAGGAAGCTGGACCAGTATCAACTACTATACATGCATAAACAAAGGGTGACTTGCTCACAGGATACCAGACTCTGTGGATTTATTTCAGACATGGGCCAAATGCAGGCAGATGGGACTAGCTTAGTTTGGGAACATGGTGGCATGGACTGGTTGGACTGAAGTGTCTGTTTCCCAGCTGTATGACTCTATGACACGAAATCAGTGGTGTGGTATACAGTGAGGAGGAAAGCCTTAGTTACATGATGATATAAATAGGCTGGTTAGATTGGCTGAACATTGGCAAATGAGATTTAATTCTGAAAAGTGTGAGGCGATGCATTTTGGCAGGACTAACAATACAAAGAAGTACACGTTGAATGGTAAGATGTTAGAAAGTACAGAGGATTGGCAGGACCTTGGTGTGCATGTCTATAGATCCTTGAAGGCAGCAGGATGGGTAGATAAGGTGACTAAGAAGAATAATGGATACTTTTAGTTCATGGCATTGAATACAAGAACAAGGAGGGCTATATAATGTTAGTCAGGCCACAGCTGGGACACTATGTACATTTCTGGTGTCCACACTATAGGAAGGAAGTGATGCACTAGAGACGGTGCAGTGGAGATTCACCAGGATGTTGCCTGGGCTGGAGCAATTCAGCTAGATAGGCTTGGAGTTATTTTCTTTATAGTGGACAAGATTGACTGCTGAGGGATTGATAAGTAAAGGGCACAGTTTTAAAGTAAGAAGCAGGAGGTTTAGAGGGGATTTGAGGAAAACATTTTTCACCCAGAGGGTTATGGGTATCTGGAACTCACTGCTGGAAAGGATGGTAGAGGCAGAAACCCTCAAGATATTTAAGAATTAGATGAGCATTTGCAATGCCATAGTATACTCGAAAATAGAATTAGAAGTGATGGATGTTTGATTATGGGCAGAAGAGTCTCTTTCCTGTAAAACTCTATGACTATGACTCTAGACCCTCTATATTTCATGACAATTCTTTGTGACCTTGATTTCTCGCTAGTGACTCTTCAATCTTTTTCCTGTGCTTACTGAGACAAAGCATTTGCGAATGGAATTATTTCATTGCAAAAACATTTGTAAAGTTCAGCTTCTGTAAGGTTAATTTTTATTTGATGTCAAAGGCTTCTCCTTTTTGCTTAACACAGAAACCTAATTTTAACCTGTCTTTGGACTTGTGCTTTTCTCCACTCTGTACGATTAGGATGTAAGCTAACATTTCAAGATTGACTTAGTTTAGTTATAATCACATAATTAAAGTATATTCATTGAGCAATCTAACATTATACTATTCTGCTTAGAGCCATTGAGTCACACAGTACAGGTCATTTAGCCCACTGAGTCTGCGCCAACCCATCCACACTAATCGTGCGTTCCAGCACATGGCCCATAGCATAAAATGTTATGACATTTCAAGTGCTCATCTATTCAATTTTTGGAGGTTGTGAGGACTCCTAGCTCTACTATCCTTCTAGGCCGTGCTATCCTTCTAGGCCGTGCATTCCAGATTCCCACTGCCCTCTCAATGAAAAACATTTTCCTCAAATCCCCTCTAAACCTCCTGCCCTTCACCTTAAAATTATACCTTTCATTATTGACCCATCAACTGAGATGAACTGTACTTGGCTTAAGTATAGCCAATGCAGTTCTTAATTCTGTAACATCATGTGATTGTGTTTATTTTCATTTGACAAAGAGATGC